AGGGCAAAGAAGGCCTCAGACGGAGTACAGTCTAGGGGGTCAGAGACTACAAACCTCACTCAAGGAAAAGATCTTGGGGTGAGTATAACACCAGGCACATCTCCTGAAGCGCCACATCAACCAAATAACTGCTGCAGCATATGGGCGCCTAGCAAACCTCAGAACAGCATTCCGACATCTTAATAAGGAATCATTCAGGACCCTGTACACCGTGTACGTTAGGCCCATATTGGAGTATGCGGCACCAGTTTGGAACCCCACCTAGCCAAGCACGTGAAGAAACTAGAGAAAGTGCAAAGGTTTGCAACAAGACTAGTCCCAGAGCTAAGAGGTATGTCCTACGAGGAGAGGTTAAGGGAAATAAAACCTGACGACACTGGAGGACAGGAGAGATAGGGGGGACATGATAACGACATACAAAATACTGAGAGGAATTGACAAGGTGGACAAAGACAGGATGTTCCAGAGATTGGACACAGTAACAAGGGGACACAGTTGGAAGCTGAAGACACAGATGAATCACAGGGATGTTAGGAAGTATTTCTTCAGCCACAGAGTAGTCAGTAAGTGGAATAGTTTGGGAAGCGATGTAGTGGAGGCAGGATCCATACATAGCTTTAAGCAGAGGTATGATAAAGCTCACGGCTCAGGGAGAGTGACCTAGTAGAGATCAGTGAAGAGGCGGGCCAGAGCTCGGACTCGACCCCGCAACCTCAACTAGGTGACTAACTAGGTGAGTACCACACACACACACACACACACATATACATATATATATATATATATATATATAAAATATATATTATATATATATATATTTTATATTTATATAATATATTATATATATATAGTATATATGATATATATATTTTTATATATATATATATATATATATATAAAATATATATAAAATATACTATATTATTTATATATATATATATAATATATTATATATATATATATATATATATATATATATATATATATAAAATATATATATATATATATATATATTATATATATAATATATAAAATTTTTTATTTTATTATATATATAATATATATATATATATATATATATATATTATATATATTATATATATATATATATAAAATATTATATATATATTATATATATATTTTATATATTTAAATTATATATATATATATATATATATATATATTTATATATATATAATATATATATATATATATATATATATATATATATATATATATATATATATATATTTATATATATATATATATATATATATATTTTTATATATATATTATATATATATTATATATATATATATATATAAATATATATATATATATATATATTATATATATAATATATATATATATATATATATATATATATATATATATATATTTTTTATATATATTTATATATATATATATAATAAATATATTAATTATATATATATACAAATGGACCATTTGAGTTTTGCAAACCTCAAACTTTCGTGAAATTCGACCTTCGGCGAGTTTTGTGGAAAAATTTGGCCTCGAGTTTCGTGAAAAAACTCGTGTTTCGGCGACCGTCTGGTACCTGTCCGCCCGTCACCATGTACACAAAGCCAGCCTCCCACGCCATTCATGCTCAATGTGCCATTGTTTACCAAACACGTGACCATCACCTCGTGGGTTCATACGTAATAATCCATTGTTTTTTGTGATTACAACTGCTAAATAAGTCACCATGGGCCCAAGGAAAGCTATTGCAAGCCCTTTAGTAAAGAAAGTGAGTGAACACGATCGATTCAAGAAGGAAATCAATTGAAAAATGTGAGAGTGGAGTTGTGTTACAGAGCTGCCAGGATGTTATGGCAAGCCCCATTCAACCATCACTTCGAATCGCGGCGAAAGGAAAGGAAATAAGTGTGCTGTTGTTGCAAAAGGGGTGGATATGCTGACAAAAGGAGATAACAAATCCTCGAAGAAGTGGGAGGTTATTGTTGGTGTGGATTACTGAAAAACGTTAGCAGGAGATAGTGTTATGCAGTCGATAATATGTGAAAAGGCAAGGCCAGTTGCATGACGATCTCATAAAGAACATGCCTGCAACAAATGGTGATGCTTGTGATTTTAAGGCCAGCAAAGGTTGGTTTGAGAGATTTAAGAAGCGAAGTGGCATTCACAGTGTGATAAGGCAATGTGAGGCTGCAGTTCTGACAAAATTGCAGTGAGAAGTTTGTACAGGAGTTTGAGGAGTGCATAGACACTGGAGAATTCAAACCCCAACAAGTGTTAATTGTGATGAAACAGACCTCTTTTGGAAGAAAATGCCAAAGAGGACCTACATCACGCAGGAGGAAACGGCACTCCAGGGGACACAAGCTCTGAAAGACAGGCTTACTCCTCATGTTTTGTAGTAATGCTAGTGGGGATTTTAAATTGAAGCCTTTACTGGTGTATCACTCTGAAAATCCCAGAGTGTTCAAGAAATACAGTGTTCGCCAAAAGGTAATTTGTGTGTGATGTGGAAGGCCAACAGTAAGGCATGGGTCACAAGGGGAATTTTCTAGACTGGTTTAATAAGTGTTTGGCCCAGTGTGAAGAAATACCTCCTGGGAAAATAAACTGTCACTCAAGTGCTCTGGTAATGGACAATGCTCCTGCCTCATCCTCCAGACTTGGAAGAGCAAATAGTGGAGGAGCTTAGTTTCATCACGGCGAAGTTCTTGCCTCTAATACCACTCCTCTCTCAGCCATGGACCAGCAGGTCATTTCAAACTTCAAAAAACTCTACACCAAAGCCGTGTTTCAAAAGTGCTTTGAAGTGACCTCAGACACTGAATTGACCCTAAGAGAGTTCTGGAAAGTATCACTTTAATATCCTCTATTGCATAAATCTTATAGGTAAGTCTTGGGAGGCAGTGACTTCCAGGACTTTGAACTTTGCTTGGAGAAAACTGTGGCCAGATTGTGTACAGAGAGGGATTTTGAAGGTTTGTGCCTGACCCTAAGGAACCTATGTCAGTTGTGCAAACTATTGTGGCACTGGGGATGTCCCTGGGGTGGAGGTGGTGGTGAGGATGTGGAAGGTTGGTGGAGGACCACAGGGAAGAGCTAACCACTGAAGAGTGCAAGAGCTTCATCTGCAGCAGCAAGAGATCACAGCTCAGGAAAACTGCTGCAGAGAAGGGATGGAAGAGAGATAGAGGAAGGGTGCCTTCTTCGAAGAGTTAGGACATTTGTGCAAAGTGGACGAAGAGTGTAAACCTTTTATGGATGTACTTACCCTAACAAAGCTGTTGCAGGCTGTATTGGCAACAATGTACAAATGACAGTGTTGTGTTCCCACTTCAGGGAAATCTTAAAGAAATGCCAGAAACAGGACCTCTCTGGACAGATATTTTGTGCGACAGGGGTCCAGTGACTCAACATATATATATATATATATATATATTATATATAATATATATATATTATTATAATAATATGTTATATATATATATATATATTTATATTATGCAAAACAACCACTCTGAAAGAATAGAAATTTCCAAGCGCTTTCGTGACTACTCACATTATCAAGGAACTACGTCAGAGTATTTTTCTTGTGTTTATTATATCATTTAACTTTGTTGATACACTCGTGTATATATATAATTATTATTATATATATATATATTTATATAATATATATATATATATATTATATATATATTATATATATATATATATTATATATATATATTATATATATATATATATTACACGAGTGTATCAACAAAGTTAAATGATATAAAAACACAGAAAAAATACTCTGACGTAGTTCATTTATTTAGATGTTTAATAGTAATAAAATGTTCCCATCTTGTGTAGACTGTTGACGTGATCATGTTGTGACGTGACGTGACGTGACGTCTGTTTATAGTTATACCATTTGATCATGTTTGTGACGTGACGTCTGTTATAGTTATACCATTTGATCATGTTGTGACGTGACGTCTGTTATAGTTATACCATTTGATCATGTTGGACGTGACGTGACGTCTGTTATAGTTATACCACTTGATCATGTTGTGACGTGACGTCATGTGACGTCATGTTATAGTTATGCCACTTGATCATGTTGTGACGTGACGTCACGTGATGTCTGTTATAGTTATGCCACTTGATCATGTTGTGACGTGACGTGACGTGACGTCTGTTATAGTTATACCATTTGATCATGTTGTGACGTGACGTCACGTGACGTCTGTTATAGTTATACCATTTGATCATGTTGTGACGTGACGTGACGTGACGTGACGTGACGTCTGTTATAGTTATACCACTTGATCATGTGACTTGACGTCATGTGACGTCTGTTATAGTTATGCCACTTGATTCATGTTTGTGACGTGACGTGACGTGACGTCACGTGATGTCTGTTATAGTTATGCACTTGATCATGTTGTGACGTGACGTCACGTGATGTCTGTTATAGTTATGACACTTGATCATGTTGTGACGTGACATCACGTGATGTCTGTTTAGTTATGCCACTTGATCATGTTGTGACGTGATGTCACGTGATGTCTGTTATAGTTATACCACTTGATCATGTTGTGACGTGACATCACGTGATGTCTGTTACAGTTATGCCACTTGATCATGTTGTGACGTGACATCACGTAATGTCTGTTATAGTTATGCCACTTGATCATGTTGTGACGTGACATCACGTGATGTCTGTTATAGTTATGCCACTTGATCATGTTGTGACGTGATGTCACGTGATGTCTGTTATAGTTATACCACTTGATCATGTTGTGACGTGACATCACGTGATGTCTGTTACAGTTATGCCACTTGATCATGTTGTGACGTGACGTCACATGATGTCTGTTACAGTTATGCCACTTGATCATGTTGTGACGTGATGTCACATGACGTCTGTTACAGTTATGTCACCTGAAGGGACAGAAGTCAGTAGATAACGATACTTCATAAAAATCGTTGACTGATAGTACAAAGTCCAGTGAAAGTTGACGTTGCTGGTGATATTAAGAACGTGTCAGGCAACACTTGTTCTGTTTAATGATCAATATTACTTAACCTGGTGATATTAAGAACTGCGTCAGGCAACACTTGTTCTGTTTAATGATCAATATTACTTAACCTTAACTTTGAAAGTTGACGTTGCTGGTGATATTAAGAGCTGCGTCAGGCAACACTTGTTCTGTTTAATGATCAATATTACTTAACCTTAACTTTGAAAGTTGACGTTGCTGGTGATATTAAGAGCTGCGTCAGGCAACACTTGTTCTGTTTAATGATCAATATTACTTAACCTTAACTTTGAAAGTTGACGTTGCTGGTGATATTAAGAGCTGTGTCAGGCAACACTTGTTCTGTTTAATGATCAATATTACTTAACCTTAACTTTGAAAGTTGACGTTGCTGGTGATATTAAGAACTGCGTCAGGCAACACTTGTTCTGTTTAATGATCAATATTACTTAACCTGGTGATATTAAGAACTGCGTCAGGCAACACTTGTTCTGTTTAATGATCAATATTACTTAACCTTAACTTTGAAAGTTGACGTTGCTGGTGATATTAAGAGCTGCGTCAGGCAACACTTGTTCTGTTTAATGATCATATTACTTAACCTTAACTTTGAAAGTTGACGTTGCTGGTGATATTAAGAGCTGCGTCAGGCAACACTTGTTCTGTTTAATGATCAATATTACTTAACCTTAACTTTGAAAGTTGACGTTGCTGGTGATATTAAGAACTGCGTCAGGCAACACTTGTTCTGTTTAATGATCAATATTACTTAACCTTAACTTTGACACAAATAACATTGATGTTATCCTTAAATCTAATATTGTACAAACTATAATGATGTTGTCATTGTTTCTTTACAATGTTGTAAATTTTCATAATAATAATATTATAATAATACAATAATAATAATATTAATAATTATGTTATTATTATTATCATAGTCGTTAACAAATAAAACGATAAATCATTATAAAACAGGTAATTATTTAAATTATTATGATTAACAATGATAATAATAATTATTTTGTTGTTGAAGAAGAGGTTGTAATTAAATCAAACAACTTGTAACAACAACAGTGGGAAGTCTTGGTTTCTTTGTGCTTCTCTTATTATTCTTAACAAACATCGGAGGTAATTGTCAGACTTAGTTAAGACTGGACTCATTAATCTTTCTCTATCTTATTCAATTCAATTCAATTCAAAGTTTATTCTCTATAAAGATTACAACGCTGAGTTTACAGAATTTGGTTATTGTGTGGTTTACATGTAGTAAAATTGTGATTACAGAGTGTACCACTAGAACACCTAGCATGGATAGACATTTCGGGCATACTTGGTTTAATTCTTTATTTTAAAATATTACAAATTATGAGGTTAAGTTGGTATTATGGCTAAGTGACTAAATATTAGTTTGTGAGTTTAGCAATGTGAATGCTTTTGTTTTGGCACAGTACATTGTTTCAGTATTGGAGTATCACAGGATTTATTATTTTATTTGAGATTGATATTTCTGTTTATGGTCAAATGAGTGAGTGAGTGTAAGTGTGAACCACCAGGTGGTATTCGTGTAGTTAGTTGACGGGGTGTATCAGGGAGATAAGATGTTTTCTATGGTAGTTTTGAGGTGATGAATGTGTCTGCAGTTCTAGAGTTCTCAGGTAGGGTGTTCCAGATTTTAGGGCCTTTGACATGCATTGAATTTTGTAAAGGTTTAGTCGGACACGGGGAATGTACGTAGAGATGTTTGTGTCTGGTGTTATGCCTGTGGGTTTTGTCACAACTATCAAGAAAGCGTTTTAGGTCAAGGTTGATATTGGAGTTTAAGGTCCTCCAGATGTAGATTGCACAGTAGTAAGTGTGGATGTACTGAACTGGGAGTAAGTTTAGGTCTATGAAGAGTGGGGGGGGGGGTGGTGTTGCTAGGGATGGGATTTAGTGATTATTCTTACTGCAGCTTTTGTTGGGTTATTATTGGCTTTAGATGTGTTGCTGCAGTTGATCCCCAAGCACAAATAGCATAGGTAAGGTATGGATAAATAGTGAGTGGTTATAGTGTGAGAAGGGCATTTTGCGGCACGTAGTATCGTATCTTGGAGAGGATCCCAACCGTTTTGGATACTTTTTTGGTTATGTGTTGGATATGGGTGATGAAATTCAGGTTGTTGTCAAGGTATAGGCCTAGGAATTTGCCCTCATTATGTCTGGTAATTAGAGTGTTGTCGATCTTAATGTTAATTTGTGCATCTCCTGCTCTGCTACCAAACATTAATATAGTAGGTTTTGTCAGTGTTAAGCGTAAGTTTATTGGCTGTCATCCAAGTCAATATTTTGATCAGCTCCTCGTTAACAATGGTGTTGAGGGTGGCAAGATTAGGGTGAGAGATGACATAAGTCGTGTCGTCAGCAAAGAGAATGGGTTTCAGGTGTTGGGATACGTTTGGAAGATCATTGATGTATATGAGGAAGAGCAGAGGGACCAAGGACATTCCCTGCGGAAACTCCAGTATCAAGTGGCCGTGTTGTTGATGCTGTGTCTTTAATGGTGACATACTGAACTATTAGTAATGTAAGATTTGAAATAGCAAAGCGCATGGCCTTTATACCGTAATGATAAGGTTGTGGAGTTAGGATGTCGGGTTCTACTGTGCAAAAAGCTTTCTAGGTCAATATAAAATTCCTAGTGGATATTCTCATCATCACACCATTATTATGTGATAATTCAGAATTATTGTTGTTGCTGCTGTTATTATTATTATTATTATTATTATTATTATTTTTTATTATTATTATTATTTATTATTATTATTATTATTATTATTATTATTATGTTTTATAATTTATTATTTATTATTATTTTTATTATTATTATAATTATTATTATTATTATTATTATTTATTATTATTATTGTTATTATTATTTATTATTATAATTATTATTTATTATTTATTATTATTATTATTATTATTATTATTTTAATAATTATTATTATTATTATTTTATTATTATTATTATTATTGTTATTATTATTATTATTATAATTATTATTATTATTATTATTATTAAATATTATTATTATTATAATTATTATATTATTATTATAATTATTATTATTATTATTATTATAATTATTATTATTATTATTATTATTATTATTATATATTATTATTATAATTATTATTATATTATTATTATTATTATAATTTTATTTATTATTATTATATTTTATTATTATTATTATTATTATTATTATATAATATATTATTATTATTATTATTATTATAATTATTATTAATTATTATTATTATTATTATTATTATTATTATTAATTATTATATTATTATATTATAATATTTATTATATATTATTATTATTATTATTATTATTTTTATTATAATAATTATTATATTATTATTATTATTATATTATTATTATTTATTATTATTATTATTATTATTATTATAATTATTATTATTATATATTCATTATAATAATTATTATTATTATTATTATTATAATTATTATTATTATTATTATTATAATTATTATTATTATTATTATTTAATATTATTATTATAATTATTTATTATTATTATTATATTATATTTTTATTATTATTATTATTATTATTATATATTAATTATTATTATTATTATTATTATATTATTATTATTATTATTATTATTATTATTATTAATTATTATTATTATTATAATCATTATAATTATTATTATTATTATTATTTTTATTATTATTATTATTATTATAATTATTATTATTATTATTATATTTTATTATTATTATTATATTATTATTATTATTATTATTATTATTATTATTATTTTATTATTATTATTATTATTATTATTATTATATTATTATTATTATATTATTTTATTATTAATTATTATTATTATATTATTATTATAATATTATTATTATTATATTATTATTTATTATTATTATTATTATAATTTATTATTATTATTATTATTATTTTATATAATTATTATTTATTATTATTATTATTATTATTTTATTATTATTATTATTATTATTTTATTTTATTATTATAATTATTATTATTATTATTATTATTATTTATTATTATTATTATTATTATATTTTATTATTATTATTATATTTTATTATTTTTATTATTTTATTATTATTATTATTATTTATTATTATTATTATTATTATTATAAATTATTATTATTTATTATTATTTATTAATATTTATTATTATTTATTATTATTATTATTATTATTAATTATATTATTATTATTTTAAATTTTTATATATTAATTAATTTTATTATTAATTATATTATTATTAATATATTATTATTATATAATATATTATTATTAATATATATATATAATTATATATAAATTTATTATTATATTATAATTATTATTATTATTATTATTATTAATATTATTATTATTATTATTAGTTTCATTATTTAACTACTGTTTATTCATGACACATGGGGCTAAACTACGTTTGATAATGCAACATCTGTAGGGAAAATATCTTTTCACATTTTTTAATGTTGATAACAAATTATGTAATAATATATTATAAATAAATATTTATAATAATAATTATAATATTCATACATTATTGGTTACAAAATAATTGAGTTTGGTTTAGTGTTGTTCAGTATTGCAGATATTACCGTACAAGATGAACTGTATGTAGGGAGCACACGTTGTGGATTTGTGTACACTCACGGTGGGGTGTAACATGCTGGTGTGTGCACTCACGGTGGTGTGTACAACATCTGGGTGTACATCACGGGGTGTGTACACATGTGGTGTGTGCACTCAGCGGGTGTACATGCTGGTAGTGTACACTTATGTTGGTGTGTACACATTGTGTGTTCAGCGGGTGTGTACACTCATGCTGTGTGTGACACATGCTGGTTGGTTAACACATGCTAGAGTGTGTCACTATGTGGTTAATATGATGTGTACACTTTAGATGTGGTGTGGTCACATGCTGGTGTGTAGGTGAGAGTTAGGGATGCAAAGCAGGTGCTGGCACAATACAAATCCAGGTAGAGGTGAAGAAATGCTAGGTTGAACTAGAACCTCAAAGGCGGTGGGACTCAGATAACATTCTCCATGGATAGTGAGAGAAGGAGCAAAGGAACTGTGTGTGACATAGCGGAATCTTCAGTAAATCAATCGAAACTGGCGTTGTGAGCGGAGACGCAACTGTAGTTCCAGTTTTTAGAAAGGAGGGCAGTCAGGCAGTGTTAAAGCTACACACCTGTGTGAAATGACTGTATGGTATATAAAGTCAGGAGAGATTATCAGGAGAAGGTGGTGGAACATATGAAAATTGAGCTCGTCATGATAATGCACGGCTTCAGAGATGGGATACGTGTCATCCATACTTGAGTTTACTATAAGTAGCAGAGGGAAGGACAGGAGAGAGAGGGGTGGGAGTGGGGGAAGATGTAGATTGCAATTTTTGGACTGAAGAATGCTTGATGGCAGTATTTCTACATTACACCAAACAGATGGTTACAAAATTAAAGGGGCAGGTAGGAATTATAGGGTAAAGTGCTGCAATGGATCAGGGAATACTGACAGTAGGAAACAACGAGTTGTTGGTAAGTCATGATGTTCAAGTGGCACGCGTGTGGGGGTCACAAAGGTCAATTAAGGTCCGGTGCTGTTTCTTGTATACGTGAATGACATGATGGAAGGGAATAGTTCAAAAGTGACTGTATCACTGATGATGTGAAATGATGAGGAAGAACAGTG